ATATATATATATATACATATCAATGTATTATATATAAAAGTTTTGGGACATCTGCCTTTACACGCACATGAACTTTAATGGCATCCCAGTCTTAGTCCATAGGGTTCAATATTGAGTTGGCCCATCCTTTGCAGCCATAACAGCTTCATCTTTACTGGGAAGGCAGTCCACAAGGTTTAGGAGTGTGTCTATGGGAATGTTTGTCCATTCTTCCAGAAGCGTATTTGTGAGGTTAGGTACTGATGTTGGACGAGAAGGCCTGGCTCACAGGTGATTTGTCTGGTTGAGGTCAGGACTATGTGCAGGCCAGTCAAGTTCCTCCACCCCAAACTCGCTCATCCATGTCTTCAAGGACCTTGCTTTGTGCACTGGTGCGCAGTCATGTTGGAACAGGAAGGGGCCATCCCCAAACTGTTCTCACAAATTTGGCAGCATGAAATTGTCCAAAATGTCTTGGTGTGCTGATGCCTTAAGAGTTCCCTTCACTGGAACTAAGGAGCCAAGCCCAACCCCTGAAAAAAACCCCCACACCATAATCCCCCCTCCACCAAACTTTACACTTGGCAAAATGCAGTCAGGCAAGTACCGTTATCCTGGCAACTGCCAAACCCAGACACGTCCATCGGATTGCCAGACAGAGAAGTGTGATTCGTCACTCCAGAGAACACGTCTCCACTTCTCTAGAGTCCAGTGGTGGTGTGCTTTACACCACTGCATCCAACGCTTTGCATTGCACTTGGTGATGCAAAGCCTTGATGCAGCTGCTTGGCCATGGAAACCCATTCCATGAAGCTCTCTACGCACTGTTGTTGTGCCAATCTGAAGGCCACACGAAGTTTGGAAGTCTGTAGCTATTGACTCTGCAGACAGTTGGCGACTTCTGTGCGCTTCAGCATGTGCTGACCCTGCTCTGTCATTTTACGTGGCCTACCACGTGGCTGAGTTGCTGTTGTTAACAGTTGCTTCCACTTTGTTATAATACCAACATCAGTTGACCGTGTATTTAGTAGCAAGAAAATGTCATGGAACACTTGAATCCAATGATTTGGAGGGGTGTCGCAATACTTTTGGCAATATAGTGTGTGTGTGTGTGTATATATATATTGTAGAGGACGGCAGGGCTGGGTGGTGGAAGGCAGGTATATTTTGCCACTATTTGGGCTGTGGTCCCCTTAAGGGGCCCAGAGGGTTAACCTTCCTGACACATGAAGCAGCTAAAAGGGTCAGCAACTCCAGAGAGGAGTGTGGGAGTTGAGGAGGAAGTCATCAGCTGTAGCTGTGTGCGAATGTGAGAGAGCTGCTGTGTTGCTGTATTGCTGCATCGCTGTGCTACTGTGCTGGGCTGCAGGACTAACATTCCTGGGAAGGGATTCCCCAGGTCTGGGACTTTATACAACAAGTCGTGAGACATCTTTTGTTTTTATATTTGTGCTATATATATAGATATATATATGTATAAAAATATATATATAGATATATACACTCAGTGGCCAAATTATTATGACCACCTGACGTTTGTAGGCAAATTAGCTATAATTAGCTAAAATTTTGCGCCAAAGTTGCTAGAGGGCCAGACCATTATAAATAGGGAAGCAGGTTGTTTACCACGACAGTAGACGTGATTTTTTTTCTGAAGATATGGGTAAACAACGCGATTTAACAGCCTTTGAACGTGGGATGATTGTTGGCGCTCGGAGCCATGGGGCGAGTATCAGCAAAACAGCAGAATTTGTTAAATGTTCAAGAGCAGCTGTTGTTAAAGTGTTTAAAGACTGGAATGTCAGCAGAAAATCTGTGTCTGAACGTGCGAATTGTTGCCGTCAGCGACTAGTCAATGTTAGGGGAGAACGGAGAGTGGCAAGATTAGTACAAGACAACAGAAGGGCAACAGTGCAGTGCCAGATTCCTCGCATCACCTTTCAACATCTCGTGGAGTCACGAGGTGGCCAAACGAAGTCCTCTTGTGGAGTCATCTCGTGGCCCAACGAAGTGCTGATGGGGTGGTCATACTAATCTGGCCACTCAGTCTATATATACACACAGTGTGTATAGATATGTGTGTGTGTTTGTACTTTTGTGTGCACACCCTAATGGAATAGGCTGTGCACACCTATGTTCCCAATAATAGCACCAAAGAATGCTCTGTAACAATATTTGAATCTTACAGGGGGAACAAAGACAGCTCTACCTACTTAAGATGGAATACTTTGTATTTTAATCTGGACATACTGTCATTACTCCGATATTCAAGCCTTCTCTAACATTACATCACAAATGACCTCCTGTCTCAGTGGTCATTGATGTCTGCATGCCATATGCAATATGTGAACAGACGGTGCCTTGAGTAGTAATAGGTTTCAGTTACTTTTTGTATGAACAATTAATTAGATTGAAATAAATCTGTGCTTTTATCACCTTAATACATTTCAACATGAATTACATGTTCAATAAAAATTAGATTTTGCTATCAAACAATCTATAAACACAAATCAGTAACCAGCTGCTGCTGTATAATAAAGTCACAAACTATAATAATAATTCCACTTCATGTCTTGCTTTAGATGTTTTATGTGTGGTCTTACGTGTTGTTTGAATGACTCATAAAGTTTTATAGGTGCTAAAAATCAGGTGATATATTAGCATCTTCCAGTGGAAGACAAATGTTTGGTGTTCATTGGCTGGAAGGAAAATAAAGATATAACTGATACAGATTTAGTAAGCATATATATTCTGTGGTTTACTGCATTACAAATTTTGTTTTACATAATTTCTTTGTTCCTTCTTTTTTACACAGCAGACTATTAAATAAAGTTAAAACACTGGATTGTGGCTAAAGGACCACTTTAAGTTATGTCTGTGAAGGCTCTCATTCATCCAGGTCATGATATATCTGTAAAAAATAAGTCAAGGCAACTGGAGTTCCTGTATTTTTCTTGAAGCCGTTTTACTTGTCATCCAAGCGGCTTTCTCAATTCAGAATAACTTGTACAAAAGTTATCTGGGAATAAATTTGGTGAATGTTGCTCCAATCCAGATAAACTGTTAGTTAGGTGTTGACTGCATTTGCATAATTAGAGTTAGGAGGTGTTAATAACCTGCCCAGAAAGAGGTGTTAAAACAGCATTGCATGTGGCAGACAATAGATGTCTCACCCCCCCCCCCCCCACCTCTATTCAAGCTTCGCTTCTCCATTTTTACATAAATGGCCTCTTTCACACCTCTTTTAAACCGATCCTCCTCCCTGTCTAGGATGCATACTTGACTGTCTTCAAAGGAGTGACCTTTTTCCTTTAGATATAGGTATACTGCTGAATCCTGACCAGAGGGTTTGGCTCTTCTATGCTGTGCCGTAGCTGTAGCTGCTGTTTTGTTTCACCAACATACAATTCTGTTTCTGCAGCTGTTTTGTTTCACCGACATACAAATGCAATCAAAACCTGGTTGCGACTAACAGATTATGTGGATTGGAGCAACATTCACCATATTTATTCCCAGATAATTTTTGTAAGTCATTCTGAATTGAGAAAGCTGGTTGGGTGACCAGTGAAACAGCTTCAAGAAAAATACAGAAAGTCCAGTTGCCTTGACTTATTTTTTTGTAAAAGAAGATTATCTTTACATTTCTGACAAATTGCTCATTGGGAGAGTATCCAGCATTTTGAATTTTTTGAGAAAATATTGCAGCTGTGTTCTGACTCAATATTGATTACATTTCAAGATGGAGATTAGATGGATTAGGATAAACAAAATAATGTATATTTTTAAAGTTGGCTAAGATTATTTAGGATCTCAGTAGCAAAAAGATGTTATGGTATTCAAGAATGATTGCCACACAATGTAGTCTGATTTCAGGTCGATTGTTTTGTCTGTGGGTACTGTTTATGTACTGTTGATCACTTTCTAACACATTGCCAGCTAGTTAGCTAAAATGTTTGCATGTACTGTTAAGCTGTTGTCAAATGGCAGATTTTCTGCTGGCGGGACATGATAAGCACATGTGGGAGAGCCTTCTATTTTCCTTGTTGCAGTCTCTCCCTTGCTGGCCTCAACCACAGCCAAATCTTTCTTGCTAAATCTAGGACAGTGATGGAGCGACATGTTGCTGGCCTGGCTAGCAAGGAAGCAAATCCATAGATACTGTTAGGTGGTCTCAGAGTGTTCCTGATACTTGTGAGTTGTTGCTATCTTCAGGAATGCCCCGCAGCAAGATAAGACACTATGGCACTATAGGTATCTACTTTCTCATCCCAAAGCATCCACAGACATAATATTCTTGCACCACTTGATTGGTCAGAATGTGCCTGAACTTTGTACCACCATCTTATTATATGGCTAGTTTAACTCTAAAATATCTAGCAAAGTTAATGAGGCTCACAATTCAGACTCTGTAACTTAATATTCTTGAGTTAGCTGTCAGAGGACCTGAGGTAAATGCCCTTTCAAAAAAATTGCTTTAGTTGTCATATAAAACAAGTATACATTTTCAGTGTTTGTCACTAGCATATCAGTTTGGGTTCCAGGTTTCACTCTCAGTCTCAAGGGAGAGTTTGGAACCACGAAATCATCTGCCGACTTATTTATAAGAAGCTACTTAGAATGGTTATTACATCATAATCCACCCTAGTAGTGAGTGCGCAACATGAGGGTGTAGGTGCGTATAGAAACTGGTGGTACATAAGAGCAGGAACTAAATCCTCCAATGACCCTCTATGGCCACATTCAATGGTGTGAACAACAGTGAAGCTCCAGTACTGCTTATAGCACCATGCACTCCCAATTGCCCAGCATACCGCAAGTGAATAGCAACAGCTCCTGCATACATCTAGCACCATGTACCACCAATAGCACAGCAAGAGTGAATAGCAATAACTCCAGTAACATGTATAGCACTATGCACTTCCAATAGCATAACATACAGCAAGTGATATGGAAGTAACTCCAGTAACATGTATAGCACCAGGTACGTCCAATAGCAAGAGAAACAGTATTGAACTGCCTGACACAAGGATACTTGCGGTCTCCCAATAGACTTGCACAGCACTCAGGTAGATTCCCTGGAAGATGGGACTGGAGGTAGATTCCCTGTGACCCTGATGAGCCTACTGCTGTCCCGAGTGAGCGGACCGAACACAGGCGTTCACGGCAATAGTGGAACGCCTTGTGTAGCGGCCGGTCACTATTTATGGAGCTGGAATTTATGGAGGCGGGGCTCTCCTGCGCGTCACGCGGCCGCCGTGTACCATCGTGGAGCGCACCGTGTGACGGCGCAGCTGTCTATGACGCCGCTGCAGCCCAGGGAGGACCCGAGAATGCGATCACGTTACAGCCAGGCAAACTAGAATTTTCACAATGAGATGTCAACAGTGGCAGCCATCATGGGTTTTCTTAACTCTTTTCTTGAACAGGCATACAGTTAGTGAATCTGGGATACTGATCGGTATACTTGTTTTAGATAGTGACTTAAAGTATTCAAGCCTTTTTATTATCATAGGCAGTCATACAACTATTGTCAGCAATAGCAGCCTAAGTGTTTTCTTAGTGTAGGTTTCCTTTAAAGATCATTTAAAGTCACAACCTGGAAAGTAATTCTTGAAAAACATACTGGATCTCCAACCTACTTGCTGAAGGAATTTGCTGTAGCGCACAGTCCACCGCTGTTCCTCTCTTTAGTACTCTGGAAAATACATTTGCTTACATTTTGTAATGCAGAAGGGTAATTCACACATGTATATGCTCCTGCCTCCCACATAAGGAACACCTGATATATGAAAGTGTCAGAGCTAAGAAGTTTCTCACAGCTTCCAGTCTGATTCACTGGAAGTGTAAGGACCTGTGTAGGCATGCGTTGGGCTGCAAATGTATTGTGCTTTGGACATCACTTTCAGATATTTTGAGAAATATTTTAGAATTTATTGCAGGTGAAGTTGACCATTTGACCAGCTTCGGCTTCTTTTGCATTCCCATAAACCTGTATGGGAAGAAAAGATGTTCTGAAGTGAACCAAAGTTTATTGACAGTGGCCCTAAATCTGATTGCTGATACCTCAAGTAGAAAGGACATTAGGATGTTGCACTGCTCAAGCTTTTGGAAGCAGACTACCTCCCCCCCTTTCTCCATATCACGTGAGGAGCTCTGTGAAGTCTGGTTAGTTTTTGATTTTAGCAGAGCACACTGATTGCTTTTATGTTTGCCTGAGAATTACACTTTCATACATTTCCTTTAGTTGAAGTCAATTTGTCTAAGGAGCACTTTTTTTCCAATACTGTTGTAAGTGCTGTAATTGTTTTTTTTCTGACTGATATCTAATTTGTGGCTTTAAACTAATATCACATACAAAGGAAAATAAGTTACTTGAAATATTATTTACTGCCCCTGAATACTGATACAGCAGAGAGCAGTGTGAAACAAATGCATTTTATAGACATATGACAAGCTCCACCGTTACTGCCTTTTCAATCCAGAGAAATGAGTTTTCTGCTAGGATCAAATTGCAGCCTTGACGTTTCAAGATAGAGAATATTACTCAAGTAGCAAGGAAGTCACCGTATACCACAGGCTGACCGAAGACCTTGCCCTTTTCTACTTGGAATTGATGTATTTTTATTATAGCAAAATGCTATTTATTAGAAGTAAGCATATTGCAAAAGTAATATAATAAGACATAAAAACAGCTTAATGCTCTAAAAGGCAAAAAATAATTTGAAGTCCTCCTGCTAAGCTTTTCAGCGGCAGAATTGGGAATTTTATAGACTAGTAGGAAAAAGAATGTGGTATACAAATTCCGAAAAATGTCTGCATTTTACCATTTTGAGGGGTTCAAAACGCCTATCCTTCCTTCTTTTGTGCAATGTAAGCTACAGATTTAAAGATGTTGAGTAACCTATTGCTTTAGAGACTCAACATATTTAAAAATGAACTCCAGGCATGTATTAAAGACACAAATTGATAAACTTAGAATCTCCCTTACTTTCTGTCCATTGAGAATGGTCACTAGGACAAATAGTGAGGGAAACTCTGCCCAGCAAAGATGCTAACAGTAATAACACAGAGATTCAGATCATTCCTTGCTCTATCCAAAACCAGAAAAAAAAGGTTTTGGTTGGAGTTCTACTTCACCTAATTGTTGCTGTTCCTGCATTTACCTGCAGTAAAAATATACTTGTATTACACTGCTTACTAGTGTCCAGATGTGAACAGGTCTTTATTAAAGTCTCAACTTTTCAAAGATCTACACTGCTGACTGAAGTTAGAAATATTTGTCTTTTATTCTTCCTGTGACAGGCATTTGGAGAGGAAATTGCACCCATCAGCTCAAAAGTGAACACAGTGAATGATGTGGCTAGTCGGCTTTCTGCTCTAGATATTCAGCCATCTGCAAAAACAGCTCGCCAGTTGGATGACCTGAACATCAGATGGAAGCTTCTACAGGTATACCTTTCTGCATTTTTTCTCAGATAAATTTAAAGTCCAAACCCTGGGAAAAATGAGAATTTACATCGAACTGGGTTTAAATTATCATTAAAAAGCTTTATTTTATGCATGAAGGGCTGCTACAAAGTGTAAAAATCTTATCTTCCAGCACGACAACTCCTACACATAATGCCGGTCTTCAGGGTTATACTATTTCAGCCATATTTATACTATAATTACTAAAATACTATAACATGTTTAAGTACCTGTTTCCTCCCCATTTTTACAGTGATGCACTTGCATCCCAGTCTGATATACTACCATCCCCATTGTCACATTGATGCAATAGCATTCCTATCGTCACATTGATGCAATAGCATTCCCATCGTCACACTGATGCACTAGCATCCCCATCTTCACACTGATGCACTAGCATCCCCATTGTCACACTGATGCACTAGCATTCCCATTGTCACACTGATGCACTAGCGTTCCCATCGTCACACTGATGCACTAGCATTCCCATCGTCACACTGATGCACTAGCTTTCCCATCATCACACTGATGCACTAGCATCCCCATTGTCACACTGATGTACTTCACACTGATGCACTTGCATTCTCATTTTCCCACTGATGCATTTGCATCCCCATCTTCTACTCTTACAGTTGACAACCTCTGTCCTCAAAACATTGTGAAGACAGCAAAAAAATTTGACCAACACAACCCACATAGTGACTCAATCTGGAGTCCCTGGGTAACCATAAATACTAAAATCTAATAAAATAACCTCTTTGTAGGACTCAACAGATTTTCAAAACTTCCCATGCAGACAGAGCCATTATATAAGTAATCATAATTTATTACAAAGTAAATATACGCAAAAAACTAAAAAATAAAAAAAAAATTCATAGCAACACAAACCTAGGATACCACATATTAATAATTAAAAAGAAAAACATGGTATAGGAAAAATACCCTCAAGCTGTGTGCCGAGGTCCCCAAAGTGGTCCCTACACCAATTTCTTAATACAATAATTTTTTAAGAGACTCAAAACAGTGCATGTAAAATGTAATCCTTTCTGATGAATCAGTATATTATCTCTACCTCAATTTTGTCCTCCTCAAAAATGCTTAATAGAACCTAACACTTAATGCCACCCTGGTAATCATAGTTGAATTTTACATATAAAATCTTTAAAATAACATAGCACTAATCCATGTGATCAATTCATAAGTGAATTAAATCGAAAGTGAAACTAGGAAAATAACACACAGAATTGAAAAAAAAAACACCTGTCCTATACAGGTGAAACTCGAATAATTAGAATATCGTGCAAAAGTAATTGGAATAATTGCTGCAAAAGGGGCCCAAACCAAGTACTGAGTACATATGCATGCTTGTACTTTTCAGAGGTCCGATATTGTTCTATGTACAATCCTTGTTTTATTGATTGCATGTAATAATCTACTTTTTTGAGGTTGTGGATTTGGGGTTCTTGGGGTTTTCATGAGCTGTAAGCCATAATCATCACAATTATGACAAATCACGGCTTGAACTATCTTGCTTTGCATATAATGAGTCCATCTCATAAATTAGTTTCACCTTTTAAGTTGCATTAGTGAAATAAATGAACTTTGCACGATATTCTAATTATTCGAGTTTCACCTGTATCCACTGTGCTGTTCGGGTAGCACCTGGCCTTGAAAATCCATTGAAACATTTTGTGTTTCCAAAATTGTGCCAGGGAACACAGAGAGACTCCAAGTGGTGGTGACCAGCAGTATTTCTGAGTTAGGGCTCATGCACATGATGCAAAATATGCTACATTCAGATCTGTAATGCCCACATGTTTTCACCAAACTGAATGCAACTCCATCATGCACATAGCTCCATAATCTGGAGCTGCGTTCAACTGATTAAAACAAAGCAAAAAAAGGACACAGCTGCATTTGTGGTCATATAATTAGGCATTATTTACGCTCTACTAATGTAAGAGTCTGTGTAATGTTTACATGCACACAACCCATAGCACCACTGTGCCCTCTTGGTTGCTAGGATGCTAGACCACTTCAGCTGGAGCCGCCTGCTGCCTAGCAATGAAGGATGCATGTCGGCCTTGAATTATTAATTCATCGGTTGTGCATGATCTCGGCCAGTCGCTCTGTGCATTCTGCGCATGTGCTGCCCTCAATGAATGAATTATATGAAGGGCCAACATGTAAACATTAATAATGTGTAATCAGCGGCCAACGGTGGCCAATAACTGTATTAACGGTGTACACTTATATGCATGTATGTAAACATTACACAAATGTTACATGTGTATAGTATACGGACAACATTTTACACATGATCTTTTTGCCAGTTTCTCCCATTGAGTATTTCCATATGCCTGTGTGCATGAGCTCTTAGGAGAGTTGTAGCAAGGGGGCAAAGGCCCCTTTGAAACCTGAACCCCTTTTTTTCTGAAATCTGCAAGAGTAGGGGTGCAGGAAAATCAGGTTTGTAAATATAATTTACCTATCCCCAGTTATTACAAAGAATTGGTTTGTTTAACCTCTTGAAGACCGGGGTGTAAACCCCATTCATGTCCAGGCCATTTTTCAGTATTCAGCTCTGCAGTACTTTGACTGACATTTATTCAGTCATGCAACGCTGTACTGAAATTAATTTTGTATAATTTTTTGGGGACACATAGAGCTTTCTTTTGGGGGTATTTAATCACCGTCGGGTTTTTATGTTTTAATAAAGAAATGTAGTGAAAATTTTGAAAAAAAATTCCCTGCATTGTTATGAAACATTTGTTATTACCCAATAAAAGGTAAAATATAAAAGATGGGCTCACATCAGGTAAATAGACACAAATATCTCAAACTTTAAAATTGTGTGCGCCTGCGAAATTGCAAAAAAATACCATACCCAAAATTGCCCATAGGTGACACTTTAAAAGCTTTTACCGCTCATCAGTTTAGTGTTAACAGTGATTGATGGGCCTAAAATTATTGCTCTAACTCTGATGTTGGCAGTGATATGTAATATGTGCAGCATAATGGGCGCAATTGTTGTTTTCGCTTGTAGGTGCACCTGATGCATGTTTGAGTGTGTACATGGGGGTGAGGGACTTTAACATTTTTTTTTTTTTTTACACTTAACATTATTGTTATCACATAGGGGACTAAGTGATGTGATATCAAATTTACAGTGGCAGGTCCTCTTTATGGAGACATCAGGGGTCTTTAAGATCCCTAATGTCACCTAGGGACCCCCAAATAGGTTGATGAAGTAGAAATCTGCTTCACCAGCTTCTCTCCAGCTCTACAGCTGCCTGAACACTTGTATGTAAACAGCCATTTTAAAATGATGACAGTTTCCCACTCGTGTGCGCGTGAGGCGGCACGCACGAGCCGGAGCAGGAACAGGCATTTAAAAAGGTCCACCCGCATTTAAGAAGACAACTTACGTTTTAATTACAACGGCCGGACAGGAAGCGGTTAAAGCATATCTAAACCCATAACAGTAATGTAATATACTGAAGCTTATTAGTTCATAGCTGTGGTAGCTGCATTAGATTTCTATTATAGATTTTTTTCTCTGTATTTTCACTTGATCCTACCCAAAGATGGGTAGTTTTTCACCATCCAGGCACCCTTAATTACTGTTGTCTTCCACACTGGCTCTCTTCTCTACTTACTTTAGTCCCCAAGTATTCATCCGACTCCCTTTCATGTAGGATACAATAGTTACTGCCATCCCCTGCACTCAGTAATCAGCTTTAACCAGCTATTCACAGCAAAAAGAGATTGAGAATTATCACATTTCTATCCCTGGGCTGGGTAACCTGTGGCTTCCAGCTGTTTTACATGTACCGATAGTAGATAAACACCACTTACTTGGATGCTTGACGGTAATTGCGGTATCTTGTGCACTTGTCTCTAGTATCCCAAGCCCACGGTTTAAATTGTATTCTTCATCCAAACATTATTCACATCCGTAAATCTACTTTAGAATGGATTGGATAGGATTGAAGCCACATTCACAATATTTTTGAAGGAAGATTTTTATCTGCACCTCAAACACTAATACTAAAGTGCTGCTACACAACTACTTAAATTATGTATAGTATATTATATTTTTTCAGCCCCCAAACTGCCTTAAACGAATCTGTGGAACCAGATTGCAGAAAGCATAGTGAGGCAAGCCTGTTACAAGTTTGAAACGTTTCTGCCAAGTAGCGTCTATATATCTCTCTTTCACTGTAAGTAGACCGCATATAAAAGACAGCAGGTCTAATTTTCAGAAGTAAAAAAAAAAATAGCAAACTACATTGGAAATAACACACAGGGACATATATACTGTATAATGTGTGTCTGTGTGTGTGTGTGTGTGTGTATGTAGCATTTACCAAACATTCACAGGTGTTGTGTAATGATTTACTGTAATTTGAAACATGCCCCAGGAAGATATACCTGCTGTGAATATTTATATGCCCAATAGCAAACAAACTCATTTTTTGCTGTATTTGAAAAATAATAGCTGATTATTTGCCAGGGGCTTCCTTCTCGGCTGTGCTCTAGTTTTCATAAATTGGCCTTGTAATGTGTAATGCTCTTTTTCCCAGTCTGTTTTGCTCTATAGCTTATGAGATATTTATACTCATCTATTCTTTTGTGTGTCTACTGTTCCAGCTATTGCATTTATGAATGTTATGGTTACCTAAAAATTGAAATTTAGATCTAGATTTTTCTCTGTATTTTCATGTGTATAGAGGTGACCATAGACATGACAGTGTGTCCTTTCATTTTAGAACAGATTCATTGATTGCCAATCAATAAATGTCTCACATGCTCCTATAGAAAAAAAGAATGGCACATGTTAATAATGTAATCAAAATAAAAAATATGCAAATGTAGCGTAGAAGGAAAGCACGCCTTCAGACATAAATATAAATAACTCAATTAAAATACAGTCGCGGGCATTGGCTTCAATTACTGGAGCATGAAAAGGGATAGTTTTG